GGGGGGGGAGGGGGGGGGGGGGGGGGGGGGGGGGGGGGAGAGGGGGGGGGTGTTAGATGGGTTCAGAAGGGCTAGTGGAGGAGACAAAGTGGGGAGGGTTCGAAACGGGAGTAGGGGTGCAGAGCCACATGGGGACAGAGGAGAGAGTTACAGGACAAATGGGGGAGGCACAAGAGGAGTGCCGGGGCACATGAGAGAGGTAGCTGAGTGGAGGGCGGGAACACATGGAGAAGGGTGCAGGGACACATAGGGGCAGATGGGTTCAGAAGGGCTAGTGGAGGAGACAAAGTGGGGAGGGTTCGAAACGGGAGTAGGGGTGCAGAGCCACATGGGGACAGAGGAGAGAGTTACAGGACAAATGGGGGAGGCACAAGAGGAGTGCCGGGGCACATGAGAGAGGTAGCTGAGTGGAGGGCGGGAACACATGGAGAAGGGTGCAGGGACACATAGGGGCAGATATACCTGCCTGAAGGAGGGAGACTAGGAACCAACCCCCACATGAATGTGGGAGGCTTGCTATCAATTCCTCCCCCCCCACTAAAAGATCTGTTCCGTCAGTTTCCAACCTGCTGCCAACAGCCTTCCAAATTCACACCGAGGCTCCTTCGCGGCCATTCCTTCCCTCTCCCTCAGCTCCTCCATGATCTCTGGTTCAACCCCCTCCCCTGCAGCCTTTGCACTGCCTCTGAGTTGGGACTGACGTGTAAACAAAATGGTGCTGAGTTTTGTAGTAAAGCGGCCCCAGATGGAATCTATTTGTCAAAAATCCATTTTCTGGATTTTTTTTTTTTTTTTTTGCTGTCTAGGTTGTTACAGACACACCCGCTGCCCAGTATTTTGACATAACACCTGGTCGTCATGCCAGGGTTGAGTAGTTTGGTCGTTTCCTTGGATATACGATATGTAGATTTTAAAACTATGGCGCGCAGCATTTTTAATTTTTTTGGCCCAGAATTCCCCCCGGAATCGTCGATAGGTTGACAACACTGACGTTGTCCATCCTGGTCCCTACCCTGTACCGCACGCTGGAATACACAAGCCCTGGCAACGCGCAAGAGTCCAGGGGAGGACCTGCTGTCACTCCCGAAAGCTTCTCACCTTTCCTGATCAGCCGGATGGCTTCCGTCCTCTGATCCACCCCTATCCTGTCCCACTGGTTGGTGTTGTCCAGGAAGTGGGTGGCGATGACTGTCGGGGTCAAGCTCATCATGTTCTGCTCCCCGCAGCCATAGGGCACCATGATAAGATGCCCCAGCTTGGCCCCGTCAATGGAATTTTCTAGAAGATGCGCCACAGGGTTTCCTAGCCGAGAGGAGAACCCGCTGTGAGTTCACGCCGGGGTGTGTGGTGGGAACGGGGAGAAAGTGGCCCTTGAAGGGTCCTGTAGACCTGTGGGTCCCAACCTTTGTTATGCTGTGGACTGGCAAACCCATTCACAAACCTTTGGTGGACTCGCAACATTGTATTTGCATATTTGTTAGGCTGCTGCAGGTGAAGCCGGCTGTTTGTGGTGGCTCTGGGGACTGGGGCGGGGTACACCTTGGCCCCAGAGCCCTCTCCCAGTGCCAGCCCTAACCCCTATAACCCCCCACTCCTCCACTACCCCCCAGTGCCAGCTACTGGCCCCAGAGTGCCCTATGCCCCTCAGAGCCTCCCTGGGCCACCCGCCCCTTAGAACCTCCCATCACCAGATTCCTGGTGACAGCCTCCTGTTTCCAGAGGCCCACTGCACCCAGTCCCCAATATTAGCTCTGTCCTCAGAGCCACCCCAGTGCCAGCCCCCTGCCTTTT